TACTGCACTTCAGTAATGCGACTAAAATAGGAACACTCCACATGTCTTAATTCGATTTCTGTTTACTTCGATTATGACTTTAGCTGGATTAACGTAATCAAAAATCTCTGTTTACATGGTAGATTCTTAATCAGAGTATTGTCTTAATCGTATTAAAATCGGAGTATTGTTGTCCATGTAAACGTACTGACTGTTTAATTTAGTTTACTTACTATAGATTAAGATAACTTCGGAAGACCTTAACGTTTGTGCATGATGTCTTTTTAAAACATGCATCATATTTCATGTTTTATATCATATTTGGAAATAAAAACACCAGAAAAATGCACTCAGTAAATCTAGGCAGTGAGAGTTTGTTATTTTGATTTTAATAAAAGCAAAGTGTTGGTATAATTTTAACCCAGTTTACAATTTTACAGTTGTAATGATTATGAATATGATATTCCAATGAAAACTTTGTTTTCGAGGCAGAACACCACAGGTGAAAAGGTCAAACTTATAGAAATCTAATTCCCCAGTTGATTGATCACAGTCCATTAAGACATTACGTTTTATATTATGGGTTTTCTGATATGTTGTGTTATGCAAATGAGGAATTATTTAATTAAATTTGCTTTAATTTGCATACATTTCCAGTACAGAAATCTGGACATTGGATAAAGCCAAATTCTTGTTTGATTTGTCGACATATTCGAGGTTTTTCCAGAGGGGATTTTGGATTTCTCTTTTAATCACTGTCGACAGACAGAAAACAAATACATTTTCACCATGTTTTTAGGAATAAATCAGTGTGAATGATTTATGAACAAACCTTCAGAATATAGATAAACTGCATAGTTTGCTGTATGTAAGAGAAAAAACTATTTAAAGACATGGATTGGAATTGAAATCTACAGACTCAAATAGATAAACTGCAATAAAACAAACACCTAAATGTGTATTTTGGATGTTTTCTTTCCACTAATCTGAAAAGACTATATAATATAGAGCAAAACAGACCAAAAACTGAAAACAAACTGGTTTTGCCTGCAGTGTCTTACCTTAGCTTGAGCTTAATCTATCACAAAAGCTGGATGTTTAATGTGAAGAAGCACATGAGAATGGGTCTGTGAGCGTTTCTTTGATCATGATTGAATGTGAATGTGTGTTTCAGGTGATGCGGACGCAGACGGAGATGGAGCTGTGTTTGTTCAAGCAGAACGAGAGGGTCTATCGCAGCATGAGGGAGGCCGTGCTCAGCGACAAACCCATGATGCTCGCTGGAGAACAAATCAAAACCACTTCATAAACAAGCTCCTCAAACGTGCCTGAATCTGCAGAGTATTAAAGGCATTTTCAGCAGATCTCTGTTTTGTGCTGTTTTGATTGAATGTAGCTGAGATGTGCATGAGAACATCACCTACGTCTGATCAGGAGATGCGTCTGCTGATCCTCTTGTAGACGATGCCGTCGAAGGTGAGGATCTGAAACGACACGCGACAGCAGACGGGATTGAGCGTCAGGTGGTGTGCAGAGATGATGATGATGATTATTATGTGTCTTACATTAATGATGGTGTCTCCGTTCAGCTCCGTCACAGACTCGATCCCCTTCACACACACCATCAGCTTATTCCCGTCCATGTGAACCACAGTCTGACACACACACACACACACACACACACAGACAGCTTTAACATCTCATCAATCTCACGACCGACAGATCATATTACACTTAAAAAAATATTTTGATTGAAAATTAGGCTTATTTAAAGCAACTTTTAAGATTTAAACATTGTGACATCATTTCCCCCCTAAATTCTCATTAACATTATGCCAATAAATAAATAACTGTACAGAATGATTGTCTTAAAGGTCCCATATTGTCAAAACTGAAACTTCCTGACTTTTTTCACAATAACTGAGGTCTAGGGACTATTTAACTACCATATAAGTTTCAAAACAGTCAGTCCACAGTAAGATTCACAGAATAAAATATATATATATATATATATATATATATATATCTGTATAGTTTTTATTATTTTATATTTCCGTTTTAATTTTAATTATTTTAGTACATCAAATTACACTAAATGAAAATGAGAAACTAGATGAAATAAAACTAACTGAAATAAATTAAGTTTATTTCAGTTGAAATTATTTTAAGTAATAAAATGTAATGTTTTTTATGGTTTTAGTTTTAGTTAACTACAATATATTAACTACTTAGTAGCTATAATAATCCCGATATACAAAGAGAGAGAGGTTTTTAATGAAAGCTAATTCATTCATTCAGCATGGAAACATTAAATATTTATAATGTTACAAAAGAACCCTGAAGAAGAAAAAAACCGCATTGTGGTTTCCTCAAAAAAATGTTAGGCAGCACATATCAATCTTTTTTCTTTTGATTCTGTGATTTGTTTCGATACTGTTTTTGAGAACGTGAATGATAGTGGACTGATCTTACTTTCGCGTTTTCTCCAGTGAAGGTCTCCAGTTCACACTCTTCACCCACAGTAAACGAGTACAGGACGACTTTAGTTCCCGCCGTCAACGTCACTTTGAAGTCGTTTCCGTCCTGATGGATCTCTGAGATGCTCTTGATGTCTTTGCCTTTCTCAATCTCATCATCTGGCAACCCTGCAGCAGAAAACACGAGAAAACTCATGAAACAGATGATGTCTTAAATAGTGTTAATATGTTACACTCAACAATCACAAGCAAACGCTCAGATGACAGTAGTGTGTTCCATGCGTTTTCTCTTACCAATGGCCTTCATGAACGCCTCGAAGTTCTCGTGTGACTCCAGCTGATATTTCCCACTGAAAGCCATCAGCAGCTGCAGACACACGTCAGCATCGTCGTTCAATCACAGCTGATTACACACTGACATCGAACCATGTCATCTTCATCACATGTAAGGAAGCGTCAATTATTTGATGCTCAAGCCTGATTTTATTCCAGTCATCAGCAATCAAACTCCACACAAATTCAGCACTGAATGAAAACGACATAAACTAAAGTTTGAGGGCAGACTTTGAATCTCACCATTAGTGTTTCTTCAGATCCGGTTCAGAAGACTCTGCAGAAATGCCGTGTTTGGCTTCGACTGGCTGGTTTCACTGCATTTGTGCTCAATAAGGGTTTGTTACATCAGACTTTAAACCTATCAATGCACAATAAGATTATACAAAGACAGATTATGATTAAACCGCTGAGAAAAAAAGCTTCTGTGTGGAATAAATGTCCAAAGGTTATGCTGAAATAAAGACATTTCCATCAGCTGATGATCTTCATATGACTCTCAGATAATATTCATCAACACTTCAGGAAAACCGGACACTGGCGTGTGGTTCATCACTGTTTTATGTGTCAGATATTTTAAACACATTACTTACATTCACAAATCACTGCAACCAATAGGCAGATATGAGTTTCTTCTCATGTTGGTTCAGATTTTCACCAATAAATCACAAGAGCCCAAAACCCCAAATCCAGCAGAAAGGCCTATAGCTGTCATCTGTCTGAACTTCATAAACTCTTCATTGTTGCAGTATTACAGACTATGCCATTTATAATCTAATAAAATTCAGTCATTACACTTTTTTGATATTTTGTATGTTACCTTTTACAAGGTATTGTTTCAAGAATAGTTTGAATTAGGATGGGTTAAATGCAGAGCACTAATTCCGAGTATGGGTAACCATACTTGGCCACATGTCACTTTATTTCATATTTTATATCATATTTGGAAATAAAAACACCAGAAAAATGCACTCAGTAAATCTAGACAGTGAGAGTATGTTATTTTTATTTTAATAAAAGCAAAGTGTTGGTATAATTTTAACCCAGTTTACAATTTTACAGTTGTAATTAGGGATGCACCGATACCACTTTTTCCAGTACTCGCCCGATACCGATACTTTTATTTTTGGTACTTGCCGATACCGAGTACCGATACCAATATTTGTATTGTATTTGCAAATTTTTTAAATATTGGGTACAGAAACCAAAAGAGTATGTATAATGTTAGTTGGTTAACTTCATTTATCAAATAGATACAGTCAAACCAAAATCTATT